TTCTTTTACTGCATAGGTTGTCACAGTTTCGCAGGATGGAACAATTTCCTATTGGCTTGTGGAGACCGGACAGCGAGTAAAGAAGGTCCTTGATTGTCACAATGGAGCCGAAGTAACATGTTTGACCCAGGACCCCACTATGAGCCACTTTTACACTGGAGCCACGGACGGAACTGTGAAGGTCATATCTACAAAAGCAGGCTGCAATTATCGATTATGCTTATTGTTGACTTTCCAAATCTCCATTTTACCCCACAGGTTTGACACTTGTGCAAATTATCCAGGGTTTAGAGCCCTTTCTACTTGTGACGAAAATGGCCGTTGATCGCCTAGCGCAGGAAAGTCTCGCAAACATGGATCCCCATATAGTACATGATTAATTATTGTTGCTGTGCGCTTATCTTGTCAGTGGTGTCAGACAGTCGTGATTGGGATCTAACAAAGTTATACGACAGTTTTCAGGGAATCCCTAAGCCCAAAAAACCAGGAGTGCCAAAGTTTAACACAGCTCCTAGTTTTGCTATAATTTTTCAACATCTAAATTGAAGGCTGAAGAAATGTGCCTTATACGCTGACCAATTATCTGCTTTTTCCAACTCCTCATTGAGCACACAGAAATTTGTTCCACTCTTTAATTTAATTAAGTAACAATTTAATAATATTGCTACTTAACGAATGAAAGGACCTACACAGCCAACAAGTTTCTGTCTAGGATGGCCTTGAACCACCAACTTCTTATTTTGAAGTCGACTGCCCTGTAGTCCGAGCAACCTGAGAATAGATGCCTGCTGTGCAAAATGCAATGCTTATGGGGAACAGCAAACTACGAACAGATAGCCTTTAGCATAGCTGATAAGGAGACGGGCTGAGCCGGTTACTCGTCAAGCGCAAATTTTGTGGACACAGAATTTGGAAAAATGGTCAGCACTTATGCCAGCACAGGACGATTTTTTTGATAGTAACCACTAGTTCTGTGAGGTCCAAGCTTCGAAGAAGAACAGAGAAGTCTTTTGAATGTTCCGTTATCCGATAGCCAACTGCACTACTCAAGTAATCTTACCCTTGGTATAATGGATGTATGTCAAAATAGGCATGTAAATTCATAAGTCCTTTCAATATATATATGTGTACTTTCGAAACGTAATGCAAGGTAAAGAACGGATTTCGTACTGGAAGAATGAACACTCAACTGAAGCAATAGATAAACTCGGACGTCCCGTCTAAAAAAGGACTTCCCTCTACATGTCAAGTGCGTCCTGCAAAAAGCCCTGTGAGAGCGCCAAGTGTAATGAGAAGATTAGAAAGAAATGAGGTAGTCGTCGGAATTCTGTAAAGCATGAAAGAACAACTCTTTTGAAAGGAAGTTGACCATGGTGTGATGACAAATTCTCTTTACCGGGATTTTTTAGAGGCCAGAAATATCGTAGCCTACGTTACCAGATAAATGCTAGAACTTTAAATGTGGAGATATATTTTCTGAATGGTATCAAAGCAGACGTCCTTATGTGGCTAATATTCTCAGTAGAAGGATGTCTCTTTTATAATTTGATGCAATACAGACGTAGATGGAAGTCAAAAGTCAAATATGTTGAACTACATCCATCTCGTTTCAAACGTTTACCGTCGAAATTTTCAGCCTGAATTACTCGTGGTTTCTTCCGACAACCACTTAATTCACAATCATCCCGCTCAACTCGACGCATAACGATCTGCAAAAAAGCACTGAACGACTATCTTAAGTCCGCAATAGCAAGGGAATTTCTTTTCTGTTCTGGCGACCTTAACCCTAAATCCACTTAAACGTATAACAGGCTAAAATAGTTTTGACGATCTTATCGGATTGAATGAATAAATTGCTGTGGTTCTTGCTTTGTAATAAGATACGTGTTCAAGGCCCCAATGACTAAAAGCAGGATGAAAATTAGAGGTCATATAAATCCTTGCTAAAATTTTGCCAGCTCGACCATACTTTATCCAACACCGTTAGCTTATCTGCAAAAAATCCAAAATTCAATCATTATATTGGTCCATAAATGTGGTCATTTAGTCAGCAAAGCACAAAAGTGCCGATCATATTAAGTGGGTAGTAGGGCGTTTTTTACATTTGTACTGACATATTTCTTCTGGTCTTTCTTTTAAAGATACACC